AGAGAGAGAGAGAGAGAGAGAGAATGTTTATTGTAAGGATTATGTTTATGTAGAACACACAACTAATTTATAAACACGTATTAGTCACTTTTATCATTAAATTATTTTAATTTTTATGATTGGGAAATCATCTAATTCCATAGAGATACCACCTCGAAAACCCAAGGAGGGGTCACTAGGAGTTGAACTGACTCGACAGCAGTGAGTTTGGTTTTGGTATAATAAATTTAAACCTTATCATGTATTATTTGTTGTTGCTGACTGCCACCTTATTTCTTACACATGATACAGAACAATAATTATATTATGCTTACTGTATACCTGACATTGTTCTAAATACTTTACACATATTATACCCTCTCCATCCTCACATAAACCTATGAAGCTGGCACTATTATTGTTCCCATTTTATAGATGAGAACACTGAGGCAAAGAAACTTTAAGCAGCTCACTTAAAGTAATATATCTAATAAGTGGCAGAGCATGGATCTGAACCCACATTCCAGAGAATGTGCTCTGAAAAACATTGAAAGATTCTATTACTGGTGTGTGTAATGTGAATCTATATCCCATATCTATGCATGCATATGTATGCACGCACATGTATATGGTACAGACTGATAACAATAAAATGCCAATTGGATTCTTTTGTTTTTCTATTTTAAAATAGATATATTTATTTCTGATGCTTTGGGTTTCTTAGAATTTAGAGTTGGAGAGAATACAATATACCAAGGGAGAGGAGATGCCTCCAGGAGAAGTCTTATATGGCTGATTGCTCAGAGGCCTTACCAGGTGGCATTTCCTTGCTGAATTAATGAAGAGCTAGAGCTACCAAGTATACCCAGAGATTGATGTAATTCTTTACTGAAGCAAATGGCTACATCTTTCTTCTGCAGAGCAGTTGATGGGTTTGAACTACTGACCTTTGAGTTAGCAGTTGAGGAGCACCAGTCCTTTTTGGTAAAGAAAGGACAACAAAATCACCTGGGCCTGAACTGTGGATCAGAATGCCAATTTGTTATTCTACAAGGGTACATGCCTTTTTCAGGGACCAGTTTACTCCTGCCTCCTAACCGTAGCAAGCTCTTTGCTGATTCCAAGATGTAATTTCTGAAGCTAAGCTAATTCTTCCTATACAAAGGAGTTATTTTATCAAATTTGAGTAATTTTAAGAATCTCAGTCCTGGTGTGTTATAAACCCCAAAACCAAACCCACTGCCAACGAGTTGATTCTGATTCATAGTGACCCTATGGGACAGAGTAGAACTGCCCCATAAGGTTTTCAAGACTGTAATCTTTAAAGAAAATTTCTCTAGCGGGCTTTAACCATTTATAGCAGTGCGATGCTATAACAACAGCACCACCAGAGCTCCTGAAGTGTTATAGTGGGGGAAATTATTTAACTTCTCTGTCTCAATTTCTTCATCTGTAAAGTTGGATGAATACTAGTATCTGACTCATAGGTTGTGATGAAGATTAAGTGAGAGGATAAATACCAAGAACAGTATCTAGAAAATACATAGCAGCATCACTCCCACTGCTGCTATTATTATATTAATGTTAATATAATATAATAATATCAAACATTTCCCAATTAAAAGCAAACCTGGTGATTTTAATGAAACATTTACTGTATTTTACACAGGTTTATCAAGGCTTTCTGCCATGTAAGCATAGCATTTGTCTGAAAACCAGGTCTCCAAAAGGAGTTCACTTCCATGAAATGACTGCAGCAAAATATCTTAGAATTGGTTCAATATTTGAGAGGTTTTTACGAATTGGTCATTTGGCAAATGGGTCTTTTGGTGATTTAACCATTTGTTAAACTGGCTTTTGGCAAATTGATCTTGCACAGATTTGCCTAGAACTCCTTTATTGTGTTTCCAGTGTAATTTAGATTTACTTGCCGGGACAAAAAGGATGTGCTAAGACACCCTTACTTATGGCAAACGTGGACTTTGAATCTAGGCATATAAGGTTGCCCATATTTGGAATCCATCCTATTTGTCAATCAAAATATTTTGGTTAAAACTGCCTTACTGCACTCTGCTTACCAAAAACCAAACTCACTGTCATCGAGTCAGATCTGACTCATAGTGACCACTCTTTGGGTTTCTGAGGCTATATCACTATGGAAATAGAGTGCCCAATTCCTTTCGAGGAGTGGCTGGAGGGTTTGAACCGCCAGTCATTTTTTAATCAAAATTTGTATTTCTCTTTATGTTATGTTTTATGATAGACTCTTTTTGGAGTATTTTATTAATTAAAAAGTCTGTTCTTTCAGCATTTAGGCTTATTCCCAAACTACATTCTCCCTACACACACCATTATACTTATTAAATTGGCCTGTACTTAGATATATTGTTTGACTCTTCCCAAGTCTTGAAATTACTGAATAGTAGAAATTATTCATTATTTGTTAATTCAAGCTTCTACTAATGGGTAAACAGCTATTTCACTGAGTTCTATAAACGCTTACTCATTGGCTAAACTCTAACACTATAGATAAAATGGTTGTTATTTGAATGTATTATATTTCATGATACTTGATAATATTTTAAAACCATTTTTAGGATGAAAGTTCAATAGAAAGTGATGAATTTGATATGAGTGATTCAACACGGATGTCAGCTGTGAACTCTGATCTTAGCTCCAATCTTGAAGAAAGAATGCAAAGTCCCCAGACTCTTCAAGGCCAGCAAGATGGTAAGCCTTTCAGATTGAAATAAACAAGTAAAAACAACAAAAAGGAGTCAGCATCTGTTAAAACAATCACTACCTTTTACTTGTGTGCACAATTTTTATCTGTGTCTATGGGGACCAATTTCTGTGAACTGAGGTCATATTATCTACTTCATTATTTTTAGATTCAAGAATTTTGCTCAAAACTAGGATTTTAGAGTAATTTCTAAACAGAAATTAATAGTAAATTCCAAGCTTATCAGTGTTTTGCTTCCTGATCTTAAAATGTACATCTTATCAATGTAATTTGGGTTTCTGAGATAAGGTTTTCTAGCTTTCGTTGCTTGGGCCATCATTCCTCTTGATGAGCTATGAGTTAAACACTGATCAAAAGATTAATTTGAGTGTCTTTCTTTTACTGAAAAGACAAAGTTGCAACCTAAAATATATCGATGTAAAAAGACAACTTGCCAGAGTGACTTTTCTGGCTAAGCAGATAGTTTGCTGGAATTTTGAGCTATTTTATTCAGTTGTACAGGAAAGATCATGATTTCTTATTCTTGGGTCCATCAAAGCTTCATGACTCATCCCAGTGCTCTTGACGCGAAGAAAGCTGTATATGTATACAAAATGGAAGAGGTAGTTACCACTTTCGGCCTGATATTTTTGGAGATTAAAAAAATATATATATATAAAAATTATCTTTGTTCATTTTTGTCTTTGTAAGTATAAAATTATGTATGCAAGCAAATGTATCTTATTTGGGTAATTGTAGATGAAATTTAAGGGATATAAATAGAAGAAAATTGGCCAATTGTATTCAAAATCAGTGGAGTATTTCTATAATTAACAAGTTTACATGAACTATTTGACTGTGGAGTTTTGTTCCTACATCTGTTTATTGGGGGGCTCATTCCTTGCTTTCCCTGGTACGTGCTATTAAAAAGTGGTTGCAAAAGACTGCTAAATTTCTAGCTGCTATTTGTAGTCTATGTTGGCAAGGTTTAAGAAATCCCAAATAAGCATACAGAGAGTCCAAAGAAGAGGACTTTTATGTTTTTCATTTCAAATGCATCTAAAAGATTTCAGTGTCCTTATTGGCACAAATTGTGAGGAAAGGAAGAGTGTGGTGATCAATGGTTTTGAAATTATATACTACTCACTACATACTAAAATAGTTATTGCCATAGGCAGAATGTTTATTTAAGAATGTTGTTATGAGGTTATTCTGTTTTATATATAAGTTATCTTATTTCTTTGAAAATATGAGTAGACATCCTCTGATTTTGATTTATTTTTTTCTTGAAATAGAAGTAGAGTGGCACCTGGGACATAGAGTAACTAAAATACTCTGTATACCTGTGTCAATATCTTTATTCACTTGTTTATGCATGTCACATATTTTATACCATCATCTTTTTTAGTTTAAAATTTCGGAGAATGTAAACCACAAAAGGCTGTTTCTCATGATGGTGAGGCATGGTTTTCTTGATGGCATCACTAATTGTAGATCTTTGGCTACAGTACAGCTGATGTAATGATAAATCCACATTAACTTTAATAAAATGCATTAGAATGACTTCAAATGGTACTTTCTCTGGAGCGGAAATGCTTTCTCATGATATACTGGTGTATATATTTCAAGGGTAAAGAAATATCTAGTTGTTCTTGCCAGACTTAATTTAACTTAAACTTGTTACCTTTCAAGTGAATATATTGGAATCTGTCTCAACCTTCTTGTCCCATCTCCCCCTCACCCCATTAATCAGGCCTTCCTCACCCCTTCCTGATATTGTTAAAATAACCTTCTACATGGCATTTCTTTCTTTATTCCATTGTTGTACTTACCTGCTGCAGCAACTTTCGTATGACTTTCTGCTTAAAATGCTTCTGATGGCTTACTGTTATCTCTACTCTAAACTCATATGGTACAATCCAAACTCTCAGGTATGTTGTGGGAGATGCTGCTTATAGTCCCAACATACAGGCTTGTTGAAGGACGGTGAGAGGTGGCGGATTGTGGTCCAGTCCTAAACTAAGCACAGCAGCCATGATTCCATGCCCATACCCATGATTTCATTCAGGTCAATGAGATAGGAGCAAATGTTCACTGGAAATTCTGGGCTGGACACTTCCTCAGACTTATGATGTAACTTCTGAGAGTCACTATGTCCTGGTTTCCCTGACTGTAGTTAAGAAAACATGTAGCCTGAGGTGCATGCATATGCTGTAAGTGCACATGTGGCCAGAGGCTGCTTGGAGCCTCCACTGGGGTTGGCGGCGAGCAGAAGGGGAAGGTTTTAATTCTCACCATGGCTGTTGCACAATGCTAGTTATTTAAAGTTTGCACCTGCCTGGCAACAGTATTCTCATTCCTAAAGAGGTTAATATGCAGATCTGGCAAAGGACTGAAATTAAGTGGTGCTGAAATAACTTTTCCAGCTACAGCTGATTGTTCATCAGTTCCTAAGGAAACAGATACTGAAGAGTGGACTTCTTGGGGGTAAAGATGTACCCACAGGTATAAATGCTGAAGGAGGGAATGGAAATGGGTCAACCTACCAGAATGCTTTGGAGCAGCTGGAACCTGAATATTTTAGGGACATGACACCAAATAGATGGAAAACTCAAAAAATCATTATTAAGAAGAACAAACTATTGAATGTTGGCATCCCAGATGGTAACACAGTTTTCTCTAACAGATTGGCAGCTACACAAGACAGGCCTTTTACCCATCAGTCTCCTGAATTAGGTGACTTACATACCTGGCAGGAAAATACCAATGTGTGGGAGGAATGAGAAGAAGATGTTGTCTGGTAAGCAGAAGTTTTGAGGCAGCAAGAAATAGCAGAAAGAGACAAGAGAGCAGCAGAACAACAGAAAAAAATGAAAAAGGAAGCACAGCAGCTACTGAAAAAAGAACAAAACAAAATTGGTGGGAAAGTTTCATAACAAATGTTATTTCACATGTCGTTGTGCCCACAAGAGAAATAGGAGCTCCACAACCCAAGCAACATTTGTATGGATTTAAGAACTTTTTCAGAATACAAACACTGCTTGATTTTAATGCATTTGTCAGGTCATTTGGGACACCAGGATTCTCCCAAAGTACTTTGAACTCCTAGTGTTTTAGACTTAAAAAAAGAAAAAAAAAATGCGTGAAACAGCTTTGAAGAAACATTTGCTTCAACATTCTCCATTGTCAGACAATTGATTACTGTAGAGAAATTATTACAAATGGAACATAGCAGGACCTCTTTAAGCCAGTATGTCTAGCTAAAGCAGTACCAAAAAAACCAAACCCACTGCTGTTGAGTCAGATCCGACTCACGGCAACCCCTCCTTGGGTTTCTGAGGCAGTATCACTACAAAAGTAGATTGCCCAACCTTCCTTCCGAGGAGTGGTTCGTGGTTTTGAACCACTAGCCTTCTGGTTAGCAGTCAAATGCCTTAGGCATTACACCACCTAATTTCATAGTGGAAAAGAGATCAATCTGCTGTCTATTATACTTTCCTTCAAATGTGCATAATGATAAGATAAATACTTTTAAATCCTTTAAAAATAATAATTAAAAAAAAAACAGAAGAGAAGAAAAGAATTCATGGGGCCTAGCCTGTTGTTTATGGCTACATTATAGTCTCAAGGGACCACCAGACTAAGTATGAACCTAAAACCAGCTATATAATTTGTGGGGACCGTGCAAAGTTAAACAGTAAACTTGTTTTTTTTAAAAAGCAGGGAAAAACGCTATTAAAATTAGTAAAATGAGATGTTTTACCTTCCTTCTACCATCTCTCTCTCCACTTGTAATGTGTGTGTGTGTGTGTTTTACTATTTAATGCCAGTCCAAGTAAGAAAAATTAAGATTTTATCATTCTTCTTTCTGTTGGGCAATGCTAGTTTTGAATACTTAAAAATAAGAGCATTTAACTTGTATGCAAGATCTCCAAAATTGCACAATTTGTATTTAAAGCACAATTTGTGCTTGTGCATGTGTTTGTCTTTTATTTTTAACAGAACAATGAAAATGGTTCACAAACCTAAATCAACTACTTTTATTTCATTTCTTGATATGCACACATTCTACCAACACTCTGTACTTCAGCTTACTGATAAGTCATCAAGGACTGAGATGAAAAGAAACTATGTATTGTCTTGTCTTTTCCTCCTCTTCTATGCCATCAGTTTCAGTGAAAGTGTAAGATAATATGATAAGGTTCCTGGGTATTTGTTGTGTGTGTTTTTTAAAATCATTGCTTCCTTTTACACTCAAAGCAAGTTCTTGTTTAAACAAAAGCATGGCTTCTTGGGTCTGTCAGTGCACATGCTTACTCAGTCATGGACATAAAATGCTTACCTTTGTCTTGCTATAAAATCCCAGGCTTCATGAGTCCCCTAAACTTTTGTGTTCATGGAGCATTAAACATCCTGTATGAATGGAAGTCAAGGAATGGCAGATACACATATTGAATGTATATCCTTTGCTCAGATCCATGCTCCACAGACCCACTGAACTTCACGTACAAAACACAAGTCCTAAGAGGAAATAATTAAGACTTTGTAGATGGTGAGAGCACAGCATTAAACCAAGCATGAGACTCTTCTGACTGTGGGTCTCTGTGTGGCTACCCAGGTTGCATGCCTGTGAAGTTGGTCCTGAGTGAATCTGTTATCCTGAAAGCTGTGTAGGAAGGCAATAGCTAACATTTTGAGCTCTTACTATGTGCCAGGTGCTATGCAATGGACTTTTTATGGCATTCTCACAACAAATCGAGGGAAGAGTATTTTTATTCCCAGTTTTAATATCTGATGACTAAGGCACAGAGAGAGTAATTAATTTTACAAAGCTCTCAGATAATACTCTCCAGAATAAAACTCTCCAGGGAATCTGATTCCAGAGCCCAGTTCAGAGAAAGAAAACAGAAGGTGGACTTAACAAAGTTAACATCTTGCCAACATCTACTTTCTTCTTTTCCTAGAAGGAAACTTCAGGTACATATGTAGTACATATGTGTCAATAAAC